CAACCAAAGGTGATGGGATTGACGATAAGTGCATTCTAATCTCTCATAGCAAAATCATCGTTGCCGTCTTAGGGTTATTATGTAACTAAGATAAGGAGCACAGGGGAGCATCTCCAGGAGTGATTCGGAGCACGGCACGCGCCGCTCGGAGTTTCATTTCTTAATATTACTTAAAATAAAATGTTAGGTAGGGACCTAACAGTGATTGGGGTCGGCGAGGTTGAGCACCCGACCGACTTATCGGCGAAACGTCGAGTGGGTAACGATGCAGCGAGATAACGTGATTTGCTACCGGTCGAAGGAGCGACCGAGAGGGACCGCGAGACCAGGAGCGATACGCGCGCGTCTCGACGTGCACGGGCATGCACGCGCGCCGCCGATCGACCGCGACACCGGCCAGAAACAATAATAATTCCGGCAACACCGCAGCACAGAGGCGCGCACGTGTCCGAGTGTATGTATTCGCGTAAATGCGGCAACGGTGGCGCGGCGATACGCCTAAGGGGTGGACATGGTGAATCTGGCCAACCGAGTGAATAGCGACCAAACGAGGCCCTGGGTCATATACTCGAAAGTGCATCGAGAATCGTATCGCGATCTTGGTCGATCCTTTATCTCGATAACGGCTTCGCAGGTTATGTCGTCGGAAAGACTAGTAAAGGCCACACGGGGATTTTAAGGTGATACGAAAGAGTCATTCTACATATATAAAACATCAAAATATAAAACTTTTCTCATTTGAAAATTCATGAGAAAAAAAAAACCGAACTACGATCAGGGACATGTTTTTTTTTCTCTTTTAAATTTTGTGAGCATCGCGTTCTTCTCTAGGGCCTTCATAATTACGTGCGGAGGTTTTAATTCGATGCATCTAGTTTAGAGAAAAGTTTTATGAATGTTTTGGCGTTTTGATATGTTTTCTTTTTTATTATTGATATGGATAAATACAAAGAGTGAGATTATGGGTACGAGTAGAAGTTCGACGGAATTTATTAAGGGCGGGATCTCCTGAAATAGTCTACTTGGACATTGGCACCTTGATATTCAAAATTCAACTTGTGAAGATGTTTCACTATTTAGGAGTTTCCGATGAATATCGGGATTTACTCGCGTTACCGATCCGGTATTCGGGGGAGTCCGGAATCTCGATGGGAAGCCAGTTAAATACGGTTCAATTATCCGCGCCCCGAGTAACCGAGTTGCCCCAAGTTCCCGGGTGCATCCTAACCTAAAAGGCCCCGGCGCGGCGTCGCTTTACTCGCGATCATTATAGGAAGGAAGGACCTTTTCTCCCGTGAGTGGGCATCCTCCCGAGTCCTCGTTAAAAGTGGACCACGGACTTAATTCCCGAGTCCGTCTGGAGGCGACAAAATCTTAGGAGTCGGTGGAAACGGCTTAATCGGACGTCGAGTTACTCGGTAACTCTTCGCCGAAGGGACTCCCGGTAGAACTTTCGCGATTTATCCAGGATTTCGTAGCGCGGGACGAAATACGTCGAGCGTTGGCAAGTACAACGGTTGATAAGGTTGGTATCTCGTCACGCCCGGCTGTGCGGTGAATTGGCTCCCCTATGACGAGCGTACTCACCCGGCGGAATTATATACCGCGATTAAATCGCCTCCGAATAAAGTCAACCCCTCCCTTACGACGTTATAAAAAGACCCCGTAAATCGGGCTCGCTCTTGCGCGTCCTTCCCCGAGCCGCGATAAATATGGAGCGTCATTCATTTCCACGTCGCCCATCGCCGAGACATCCTTGTTTCCACTAACCGCGGAGTGCATCCACTTTCCGCCCGGCCGCCATCTTGAAATTGGTAACGAGTTCCATCTATTTTTCAGGCGATCAAATTAAGCCCGAGGGATGAAATTTCTCGACCCTGAAGGACTCGTGTAGGAACATCGACGTATATACAAGATCGAGGAGGAATCGTCTTTCGAGTAATTACGAGTAACACGAAGCTCCCGTATACGCGCCATAGACAGCGTTAATCCGGAGTTTTAGGCTCGTAAATTACCTGCGCAGAAGCAGTACCTCGTAAATAAGCATTAGCCATTTAAGAGTGGCCGTTAAGTCAAATTAATGCGAAATAACGCGACGGGATATAGAAGAAACGGTCTCTTGGTAGGTGGTTTCCACCCTCGATGTTTCACGTCGAAAATTCGATCGGAAGACTCGATCCAATTTCTCGCGTCCCGGACAAGGATGCTTTTCCACTCGTGTCCGATGTCTAGGTTGTAGGTTCTAAACTAGAGTAACCTCTCCTTTCCGTCTCTCGGGGTCCTTTTCGTCGCTTTATCGTCCTACTTTCACTTGACGTTCTACCATCGGTGCTCGATATCGCCGCAGCTTATCCAGCAATTTTTCCTTGAGTTAACACCGTCATTTTTTGTTTTCTTCAGCCTCGAGAAAGGAATAATAATGTTTAGGGCTGCAGCATCACGTCCCGGTTATATTCCTAAACGCGGAAGTAAATCCATTTTAACGCGTCAACGACGCCGGCAAAATATCGCCCTCCATTTATTTCTATTATTGCCGGCTTCGCCCGTCCTCACTCTCTTTTTCTTGTTTCTTTTGCTTTTATTATTACGGTGTACCGCCCGGACTCGATTAGACGGATCGCCGATTAAAAAGGGAGCGGATTAAAGCGTTCGCCGATCCTCGCCAAGAGCCATTCATCTCTCCAAGTAATTACCACGGAAAATATCCAAGGAAAATACCGATCGTCCTCTCGTCCCGTATTTTTATTTCCTCGGTGGATCGACGAATGGTGGACGCCTTGTCTGCGAAACTCGCCCTTACGGCCCCCACGTTTCGGTCGAAAATCGTGGCCCACCTCGGGCGAACTAACAAACTACTGTGGCGGACATCATCGAATAACCCGATTTAGGTAATCCAGTTATTAATTACGCGGGCAGCCGTATGTCGGATACTGCGGCGATAGCGAGAGAGGGAGAGAGAACCACGTGGTTTAATTATTTTCCTGGCATACTGGCGATTCCGCAAATTTTGCCCGAATTAGTCGTAAGGTGGGACCCTTCGAGGAGCCCTAACCTCGCTATTCCTTAAATACCGTCCTATATTACTCTAATTATTTGTAAGAAGACTTTCGTTGAATGCGGTATTATTTCACTCGCATCTCCCTCGAGTTTGCATATTTTCCCGCGATTAATCGTACGGCCTCCGAGGAACCCTAACCTCACTTTGCGAGGCGCTAATATTTACCGGGAGGCGGAATGGATGGGCGCAAAGCACAAAACTGCAGAATAATACCGGCGTTACGTGTCCATGGGGATAACGGACGATAATGGAGCACACGGACTGTGGAAAAAAAAAAAGTTACTCGAATGTGATAAGAAACATAACCAGATGACACGATCGAGTGGGAGGCAGAGGTAAAGTATACACGTGTCTTAACGAGCGGCGTTTATTTCAAATTCCTGCAAATATGAAGGGAGCACGTGGCTGTTTTCAAAACATTTAGAAGTGACGACCGTAAGCACGTAGCGTCGTCGTTGCAACGGCGCTCGTTAAGCCAGGAGATATTGCCGTTGCGTGAAGCAAATAATTAGTTCTCAAAGTGGGCATTTCATTAAGCTCGTTACTTTCGACGGCAACGAGTCGATTTTTCGCGATAATTTTTCCCCTTTCCCGCCGCTTTTCGATCACCTTAATGCGTTCTGTATCGCGAAATCAAGTACGCCTTCCTGTGAGATGTAAATCCTCGTCGCAAAGCCTCGGTAAAAACGTATTCCGAGCGGATTAAAACATGTTTCCCTCGAGCGTATGATCGGTAAATATGCAAACGTCATTTCCCAGTAAATCCTCATCTCGATAAGGCGTCGCATGTAAAGCGCGGCCTGACCGCGTAAATAAATCGCGGAGAGGTTATTTTCCCTCGCGATGAAAGTCAATTGACATTTGGGTCAGATAAGCAAAATGGCTCTTGATGGCTGTATGTAATCTTTACCCTCTGTACTGTACCTGAAATACGTGTCTCCGGGAATTAGGATAATTTACCAGCAGTCGTGAAATCAGAAACAAATACTCAGAAAAATCCCTCGGTAGTATAATGGTCAGTATCCTACTTGAGAAAATAGCGTCGTTGGTAATTAGAACATTTTACCAACCGTCGTAAAAACCAACAACGCGAGGCTCCGTTTAAAACAAAGAGCCCCAGCTCCGGGATCGCATTTTGATTTCCGTCATCCGGAATAAGCGGGGAAGTTCTTGCGCAACTTTTCTTAACATGCGCCGCCTCGTTATTCACCTTTTTCTTTCCACGATTTAAAAATACAATTTCCCCGTTCAGCTTCGACGTTACGCGTTCGCACCCCGGAATAAACTTGTCCCTAATGAGAAAGTTTAACGGTTTCCTGCTATTCCCACGGTAAATTAACGCAAAACAGCCAGGACTGCGGAAATCAAATTATAAGGACGCCTTAAGTCGGCATAGAGTCGGTAAGTATTAGTCATCCCGGAAGCGTAGCGTGTCGTAACGCCAGGACAACTTTTAATTGAATACGAAATAAAGTCGAGACGTCAGAGAGCTTCCTTCGGATATAAATTTCAATCCATTTGAGATATCATCCGGGACGAAGTTTCGCAATTTTTCTCTCTCCTAGCGGGCGCAAAATGCCGGTACGCGAGGCTTTCTTTACGAGAGCAAATTCGAGGACCTCCATAAATCATCTCGAAGCGATGCCGTGAAACTCTAGTCATTTCAGCAGAAGTTTCCCTCTATCGAGTTATTGAACATACCGGGATAAGAACAGGCAACTTTTTTTACAGTGTTTAGTAAAACCTCGTTCACGTTAAATAATACCATTTTTTAGCCATTCGAAGTACTTGATAGTTTCAAACTCTGACCTTATCATCCTTGCAGAAGTTTAGGATGGTTAACCCGATACCGCTCGATCTTCGTATACATCGTAGAATGTTTCCGGCTTAAGGTTAAGAAAAAAAAAGTCTTCGTTTAACGGAAAACCGTTTCATCCACGAAGAAGGCGCCGGTGCAAATGGCAGCCAACAGCCTCCCGTTATCAAAAATTACGTACTGGGTATGTCTGGATAGCCATACCCCGCCGGATCGTTAAACGAACCGACGCGCTATTGAAGTAGCGAGCACCCTTTTTAGCGATCCTCCACAACGAGCGTGCTTATCACTGTCTCGTCGTGTAACCTAACTCGCGAGAGAGCGCGGCGTGCCTCGCGCCATCTGGCGGACACACGGCCAACCGAAGTCGAGGTTAACCCTCTATACTCCGAGATAAAATATTAGCTGACTGTAACATATATATATCACTAACATATGCATCGTTGAGATATACATTGTTTTCTGAATCATATAAAACCACAGAAAAAGCAATTATTCCGTTGATAAGAAAAATTATATCATCGATTTAAACCAATTTTTTGGCTACTCTTCCTGAGATTTCTTTTCACGTATTTAATCCCAGGACTTTATTACAGCGATGCATATCTTTTTGGGTCAACCATTTTCCTCGGGATAATCCAATGTGATATCCACGAAGAAAGGTAACGGCACGTGAAATTGGTGAGTATCGGCCTTCTAATCTCCTGGCATCAATTCCCAATGATTTGTTTCTGTTGTTGCCGGTGCAGAGAAAGATTGAACCCTTCGATTCCACATTTTATCCCGTATTAAGTTGGACAAAAAAAAATCGCAACAGAGACTATAAAGTCACGTGGCTTTATGGAGAGTTAATTTTCCTGAAAGGGCAGAGTCGCGGACCGCGGGATTTTCGCCATTTATGGATTCGCATTCGTTTCCATACGCTGATGATCAAAGCGCACCGCCGCGGACTTACTCCCGCCTACTCGTAAACGTTTAAAGTCTCATAATAAAAGCGGGCGACGTGCAATTTACGAGCGGCCAGTGCATTTTTACGGTACCGCCCTTTCGCGAGTTTTGGACCTTTACGAGGGTGTCGCGATGTCACCGGTATCGGCCACGCTGATTGAATCGCGAGCGATTAACCTGCCGTCGCCTCGATAACGAGAATTTTATATCCAACTTAATAACCACACTTTATGGCTATCGAAACCATCGAGAACATATTTTTTCTAGAAAAAAAAAAAAAAAAGTACCACTCCGTGGAAGGCTAAACGACGATTTGCGCTATCGAAACGGCAAAGTTTAAACGACGCGATTAACGGCGAAGAAACGTGGAGTAGAAATTTTCGGCGTTTGGTCCCTCCGAGTTTTGCATTAAAAATGCAATAGCGCGCCTGGGAATTAATCCCGAGTTTCATATTATTATATAGATATTACGTTTCATTCAATAACCGCCCCTACGACTAACATAACCTTTGAAGACCCATTTTTTTCTTCGAAAAAAAAAATTCTGTTATGTAGAGGGCTAAACGACGACTCGCGTTATTAAGGTGAAATGAAAGGGTCATTGTACATGCATAAAACGTGAAAATATTTATAAAACCTTTCTCCGAACTAGGTGCATCAAACAATTCGAAACTTTGGCACGTGGTTACGGAGGCCCTAAGGAAGAGTGCAACGCTCGTGAAATTTCACTTTTCCCAAAAAAAAAAAAAAATGTCATTTTGGTTCTAGTCAAGGGTAAATGAAAAAGTTTTTTGGGGAAAAAAAATGAAATCTCACGAGCATCGCGTTCTTCCTTAGGGCCTTCTTAATCACGTGCCGAAGTTTAAAATGATTTGGTGCACCCCGTTTGGAGAAAAGTTTTATATGTATATATACACATATAACTTTTATATATATTCTATATATATAGAATGACCCTTTCATGTAACCTTAACATACTCTTACATCGCGGTCGCCCCGTTAAACGAGGAAGTTCCTCTTCTTCCCGGAGCAAGTTTTTCCGTCGAAGTTTCAGCGACGCGATTAACGTCGAAGGAACGAGGAGCGCGAATCTCTTGCGTCTAATTGCCGTGGATTAATCGTAGGACTCGCCTCGTAACGAGGCGTGGGGTCGAAGTAGAGTCTACCGAGGTGAAAGGTTCCCGCCGTTTAGCCAGGCGGTTACAAAGGCCGCGATTTCCCGGGAACCTTTTCCTAGGGTGGTTATAGGCGTCCTCGGTTCTGTCGATATTGAATCCGCCTCGGATTTTCTTTCTCGAGATTGCCCTCCCCAGGGAATAAATGGTCACAGGGATTACCGGGAATCCGCAAACTCGACTATTGCGCTTTCCCGTCGCCCTTTTCATCCTTTTCATTTTTATCAAATGCACCCCCTCGACCCTCGCTCATATCTTCTTTCTTGTTGTTCGCCGCCATATTGCCGGAAAATATCGGCTGGTCTCTACAGAATGCAGACTATAAAAAAAAAAAGAAAAAAGAAAATAATTCCTCCTTCGCGTACACGTAATGATGCGTTCCGTGGAATCGACAGCCCTCTCGGAATAAAATCAGAAAAGGAGGAGAGGAAGTAACGCCGAAGAGGCGCGATAAATCCATTTTTTAATGGGGACCTTTTCTTTAGCGGCTTCCTCGAGAAAATAAGCTAGTCGGAGCGGCGACGATTTACTCGACACTCCGTATATTTTCTTCCAGATTTTTCGGCTCTCTGTGTCCCTAGTTGTTCTTTAAAAGAAGAATTCCCAGCTCAGGGACCCGATTCTTCAGTTCACGAGGATTTTTTTCGCGTGCGGTTAGGATCGAATGAGAAATCTTGCATTGTCGCGATGTCGCGTCATTGATAAGCGTTTGAAAGTCTTACACGATACTATCAATTTCCCGTACGATAGTTGATCGGGGGAACTCGATAATCGGGTCTCAGAAGAACATCGATGGGACTGTAAAGTGAACCCAGTTATCTTCCCTCAGGTGAGACATGGCGATAAATCGATGCGATAACTCCGTGCAAACGGACCGGCACGTATGTAACTCACTTGTGAACGATATAAAGAAGTACGATTTAAATGTAAAGGGCCGAAATGGCTACGATATATCGCTACAATTTCTCGGCAGGATTTATCGTTACAACTTATCGCCAGGAATAATCGTTACGCCACTTTCCACGAATCGTTTCATCGTTCTCAGGTATTCCCAGCCTATCTAGAGGAGTATAAAAAATGAAGATGACGAAGAGGTACCTGAAGGTAAGGCACGGCCTTGCAGAGCTCGAGCCCGAGGAACCAGGTCTTGGTGACGTCCCAGACGACCGTAGGTGGCAGACAGATCAGGATAACGAGCAGATCGGCCACGGCCAGGTTGACGATGAAGTAGTTGGTGACGGTCCTCATCGAGTGGTTCCTATAGACGGCCAAGCAGACCAGCGCGTTGCCGACGAGACCCCCCACGAAGACGACGCTGTGCAACGTGATGAAGACCCAGTCGTACGAGTCCGGGAATATGTGCTCCTCCATCAGGACGAAATAGTCCTCGTCAGGGATGCAATAGTCGTTGGTGCAGTTGTTCCTGCGGTAGTCGTCCATCTCGTCCTCGTCGTACTCTTCCAGAGTGTCGTTCGCTGCCAGAACGAGGTCCAGGGCGAGCAAGACGGTCGCCAGGCAGGACAAAAGGGTCTTCTGGGTGCTCTTCATGGCGAGGATCCCTTTTAAAATCCTCTTTTCAAATTCCTCGATGATCTTCGGCTTGACTCGCTTCGACTCGTCCACTCGGTAAGGTCGATTCTTCGGCCTGGAGATCCTAGGAGCGGGCTCGTCGCTCCGCTCTTCGGGGTGTGCTGGTCATCGAGGAGGCTCATCGAGTTCTCTTCAAAGGCCCAGGACGCGAGAGAGAGGCGGAGACTCTCCTTCTTTTCCTCTTCCTCCTCGTGCAGGGTTGCATTCTTCGGGGGCTCCTTCTTCTTCTTCCGCCTCCCTCGACGACTCTGTCCCCTGCAAAAATTATACCTCGTGTTAGGTTTATTACTCCTGGCGAGGGTCCTCGTAACCGAGATGGGGAGATCGCATGGATTGGATTTTACGCTCCGTTGGGCGGAATTTAATTCTACTTGAAGACTCGAAACGCTACCGCGACGTGTTCTTGGCTCTAGACGCAATTATAAGGTGACGATTTACGACGAGGGCGACATTTTCCCTCTTTTCTTTTTTCTTTTTTTTTTTTCAATCCGCACGTTTTATCGCCTCCAGATTTTCTGCTTGAGATTTAGACCTCATTCGGATGCGATTGAAAATTCTTCCACCGAGTGCGGTACTTTCTTTCCCTTCTAATTCGCACGTTTTATCGACTCAACATTTTCCGCCCGAGAGAGAAATAGTGAATTCTTACGATTGCGGTATTCTTCTCTAGTATATCACCGCGAAATTTGTTTGGTCGATTTTTATACTTGATATGGCATCGAACATGCACTCGATATGACCGATAAATGTTGCCTTCGAAAATCACACCACGATCCACGGAATGTGAACAAGTGCGCGCACGAGGAGACCGACCGCTTCTAATATTTTCTTTATCGACAAAATTTCGAGTGCGATTGANGGAATGTGAACAAGTGCGCGCACGAGGAGACCGACCGCTTCTAATATTAACTTTATCGACAAAATTTCTGTCGCGGCCCGGTTTTATTACCTAGCCGAATGGTTCACGGAGCCGTCCCGGCGATGTTTTCGCAATAAGGTCTTAAGAGGTAGACGCCAGGGTTGGGTGATTTCGCGTTTTTGAGGTTTTCTACATATGTTACGTAAAGTATGTAGTTTATCGTAGAAAATTGTAGAAAACCAGTAAATTACGTTTCCAATATGAAGGATGCCGCAGATGCGCTAGATCATAAACGTCTATCAGCACACATGTAAACACGTGAATATTTGTACGGAATAATAAATTAATTTGGCGCTTGCGATGAAAATTGTTCCGACCGGCGACGACGTTGCTGCGATAAAAAACTTAAGGATCAACCGTTCTCGCAAATTTCCCACAGAATTCCCACCAAAGTCGCGGACGCACCTTTTTATGCAGCGCGACATCAAAGGGGCGTCGTAACGAAGAACTTTTAAGGTGTTATCTATCCTTAGTTCTAGTCCGGGAGGAATGAAAAAAAATTTCTTTTTCGAAAAATGAAATTTTACGACCATCACGTCCTTCCTTTGAGCCTTCGTGAAAAAGTATTTCTTTTACATTTCCCAGCCTAGAACCAAGGATATTTTTTTTTTAAATAAAGTCTCACGAGCATCGCGTTCTTTCTTACAGTCTCCATGAAAAAACTGTGTTACTTCTCGCAGAACCAAGGACATTTTTTTTTATGAAATTTCAGAGCATCGCATTCTTCCTTTGAGTCTTTATGAACCAAATTTTTTACTTTTCACAGAACCAAGGACATTTTTTTTTTAATGAAATTTTACGATTATCACGTTCTTTCTTAGAGCCTTCATGATCACGTGCCGTGGTTTCAAATGATTGTTTCAATGAACGTTTTACAAATATTATTATGTTTCGATATATATAGCACGATATATTTTCAATAAGCCTTAAACTTCCTTTTTCCGCGATAAGTACTGGACGAGCCCTTTTGCGTTCTAAACAAGCGCGAGGTAGATTTTCACGCTCCGCGGGAAATTCAGGAATTACTCGCTCTTCCGTCGTGAGACGGTTAAAAGACGAAAGTTTAAATTAGATAAGTTAGACGACTCCGCTAGCGTAATTCATATTATTTCCCGCGACCGTTTCAACGAATATCGGAGGCTTCTCTGGCGCGATCGAGTGACGAGGACTCTCTGCCCTGAGAAAAAGAAAAAAATTAAAGTGTCATTGAACCAAAGAAATATTTTGTTAACCCAAGGAATAATTCGACTGAAATAAACTCGAATCGAAACGGGCCGCAACGTTAATTCGGAATTTCGACGATTAATTAGAGTCAATTAATTATTCCCGGAATTAATTGGCTGCTTTCGCTCAAACAAACTGGAATAAATTGACGGCAAATTTTCTTCGGGAATGCGGCAATTAATTTTAGTCAAATAATTATTCTTGGAATGAATGTTTGGTACTGTTCAAAGAAACATTTTTGTCGTTTTGTTCATACAAATATTCTTTTGGGGACATTGAATATCTTTTTTTTTTCCCAGCCCCACTTCGCTCGCATCAATAGGGAATTCGATCTCGAAGAAAGTGTCAAGTGTCGCTTATCGCTACGCAGTCGGGCTTAAAGAAATTACCTCGTGGAGAGAATGAGTGTCTCGAAGCACCTGGATGTTCCCTCGAAGAGAAAAGGAACGTTTACGACAAAATGGAGAACTTTCATCGAAGGAACTCCCGACTTCAGCGTTCAGTTATCCGCGTTTTCGGGTATTACTCGACTTTCCCCAAGGAGGACCGAGTTCACAAATGTTCACAAATGTTCACAAATGTTCACCAGGTTTATGGATGCACGCTACAAGGTCGATTAATCCAATCGAACGGTTTGATCGTTACAAATATCACTCGATCGTCGCTATTGCCAGACAGGCTCCTCGGGTTCCTCCCGGCGATGATTAACGACCTCTGGAAATCTAACCGACGTCCCGATTCATTTTTATCGCTTTAACGTCCCTTCTGTGTAACATCATCAGATATTGTCTCCATTGTGTATTTCGGTGCGCGATCAATCTTCATGCCCACGGAAAAAATGTTCTCTTTTCCGGAACACCGGAAGCGGCGCTCGTCCGATCGGAGCTCTTCATATCTGCGATTAGTTTCCATCCAATGAGAAAATCAGCCAGGGATGAGCAGAATGTCGAAGTCATCGAGAAACTCGGTTGAATTCCGCGCCAAATGCATATACATACGTGTACATCTGTTTTGTATACCGTGTCACTGCGAGTGGCGTTCATCCGATTAAAACACATCATATTGTATATTAATTTCCGTCCTGGATAAAAATCGAGAGGAATTACCCCGGATGCTAAAATAACGTGGCCGAAGTGTTCACTCATTCCGGGGATGAGTAAGATGTCGAAGTCATTTTACATTCTTGGACAGAGAGCGGTGTTTGTCTAATCAAAATACGTCATGTCGATTATTAATTTCCATCCAGAGGAAAAATCGGCGGAAATATTTTATAATTATTCCAGACGTTGGAACAGTGAGAGCAGCGTATCCAGGTGCGAATAAGATGTCGAAGTGATCTTCCTTTCCGGGCTGTAATCGCTTTTCGTTAACAACGTGCTTCTGCGCGGACACTCCGTTAAAGAAATCTCGAGGAATGGTTTCCTTCCTCGGGTATCTCGCATCATCGACTGCCGAGGACGTTGACGGATTCTTCGAATGCTCCGAATTTTTCTTAGGCGATGCACCGACACGATCCTCGAGCGCCTTCCCCGGAGCAACAGGAATGTCATATGCCGCCTCGAGACGTTATACCTGAAAAAGAAATGAAACTTCCATTACCATCCGCTCCCGACAGAAGGAAAGACAACGGCGATCTTAAACTCGACCGGCATTTTCGCGAAATTCCGCCGTAAACGGAAGTGCCCGTAACCGAAGAAATGCTTCCCCCCTCGCTCTTCTCCATCTTTACGAGGAGCAGCATATGTTAACTATTCCCCTCTCCTCGGAAATCTCCGCCATATTTTTTTACATATCATAGGAACGAGCTTCTAATGAAATTCCAAAATCCGCCCCTCTTTGAGGAAAGCACGATCTCCTAGGTCGTTATCCTCAGATGAATCTCAGATTTATATATAAACGTTGATATCGGAACTGCCGGCACCTCATGGCCCTTATCAATCTTCATTTCTTATTCATGAGCCGAAGTTTGGCTTTGAAGTCCTTCTCTTAATTACGAAACTTCACGAAGACTGTTTAGAAGCTTTTTTCGGTTGGGGAGACTTCGGTGATTTGTATTTTTCTTCTCCCCCTTTTTTTATTTTATTTTATTTTTTTTAAGGTATCGTGCAAATTTTACTTCTCATTTCATAATAAACTCTCACCTTTGACAGATCGGATGGATTTGTTAAAAGACGCGGAGCTGCGCCGGGCGATGCGAACTGCTCGGCGGCTTCGACAATACTGAGCTTCGCCTTGTCGCTTCGCGTCCTCCGAAGACAATTTTCGTCCCAAGACGTTCCTCGATATTCGGCAATTCCTTCGCCTCTCGTCAGCTGATTCCTCCTCGAAGTCGACACTCTCTCCTGTAAAGATTAACGTGACCTGTACATACCTATTAGATAAAAAAGACACTTTATAAACGCATGAAACACGTATCGGAAGTTTTTTCAATACCCCGAATTTACAGTACCCTCGTAGAGCTACCTAATATATTTCTTTAACGGCTTTCCAAGCTGACGCAAAAAATATCCGATAAAGCCTAGTGGAATCCGAAAAGCTCCATAAATGTAGAAAAATTTTCTGCGATCGACTTGAATCGCAAAGTGAACATATCGAGCGCGTGATTTTCGAGCGATTGTACACTAAAAAGTGTATAAAGGTCTTTTATAAAAATCCTAAACCTGTTCCATGAATCTAGGAAAAATGTTTGCGTTGATTTATATCGTAAAATTAATAAAATGAATAAAATGAATAAAATGAATGGGGGTGATTTTCAAACGAGCGTGCACGGAAGATGCGCAAAATTTACAAACATTTTTCCGTAGAATCATGAGTTATCGCGACTATCAAAGTTCTTCGAAGATGCCCAAGGTTGACTTTCATATGGCTCTTATTATGCAGTCCGGTTAATCGTTTTATAAATAGCGGGGCCGAAGGGAAGAAGTGGTTAGTTTGCGAAGTGCTCCAGAAAGGGCAACAGAAAGTTAGGGAATAGAAATTCCCGGAGGGCAGGGCCAACGTCGAGACGGATCGAGAAGACTGAGTTTGCCTGGTACAATCCTCCGGCCCCACCATAACGTAGTTTATAAATAATAAACTCGTTGTCCCTTGCGGCTTAATTAACTTTGCAACTTCCATCCCGAAGTCAACGCTCGGTAACGAGGAGGCTGGGAAAAATGACGAAAGGGCAGGGTTGAGGGCATCATGCGACATTATCATGAAAACCCCGACATTCCTGAATTCCCCACGGTCCACTTGAAAATCGTCGAACTGGGAATTCCGGGATTCCAAGCTTCCAGGATTCCGGATTCACTTCCGGCCGACTTATTATACCGGAAGACTGGCTGCTCCTCTTGTTAGCTGAAAAGCAAAATGTTCAGTCAAAGGCGCCTCCTGGATTATTTATTAAGGGCGCGATGCACTCTCAGGAATTAAGGGACCCTGGATAATTATGCAGTCGAGGGGAGACCAAAGAACGCTTCCGGGATCCCTCAAAGTCCCTCCGTTAGAAACGTCTCGATATTTTTTCAGCGCTTTCGAATGCAGATGTCTTCTAAAACCAAAAACGAATGTATATTAAATTTCACGGAACCGTTTTTATGTGAGAATTTACAGAGAATATTAAAATTTCTCGAGAAGACGGTAAGACGAATATGAGCAATGGTATTAATTAACGATCCCTCAAAGTCTCTCGATGCATGTCCTCGGAGATTCTTGTATATCTGTGCCCTAAAATTACGTGTATTTATTCTGGACATTTTTGTTTGAGGCCTCGCGAGTTCAGAAAAGGAACTGCGCCAATTTCGCGATTCCGAGTTTCACTTATGCTTCCGAAACTTCGGAAAAGTAAAGAGACAGTTTCGTGATTACTTTACGTGTCGTTACACGCAGTTGGGCGAAGTCGGATAAAATTAAGGAAGTTCTCAGGTTTCAAGACCTCGCGCCGAAATTTCCTCGAGGATGAAGCGTCGCTTTAAACCTTCTCTCGACTTTTTAACGAGATTCATTTAGACGTCTTACTAATGGCGCTCCTTAGGATAAACCATTCAATCTCTAAATCTGCATTTTTTCAATAAAGACTTTCTGATCCTAGGCTTTTTTCCCTTTCTAATTTACCAATTTCTCAGTTTTTCCTACTGTTGCTGTTGCAACTCGGAAATTTAACCGTTCTGGTTAGTTTCAGCGTTTATCCATTGTCGGTTAAAGGAATTTTATGCCGCGTTAGATTTAATAAAGCACGTATAGTTCTCGGCGAGACCGCCAGATGGCGCGAAAACCATATTAATTTTAAACTCGCTTAATTTAAAACTCTCGTTTAAAAGGTGCTTTCCATTCTATGTGATCTTGTTATGCATCCTAACCTAACAAAAGCCTAACCAAATGTGAGGAAGTTCTGATGTTAAATTGTTTGGTATAGTTTGGCGGTTTTGCGTGATAATTCAAATAGCTATCCTTTAAAATAGACGACAATTCCTTCAGAGTTTCTGATTGATTTTAGCGTTTTTTAAAATGGAGAGGTTAGATATCAGAGAAGCGTTCATGACTTTAAAGCCTCTTTGCGATGAAATGATGAGACATCCGAGTATTGAAAATGCAAGAACTGTTAAAACTTGTATCGAAAGCATTTCTACTGGTGTGGTGCAGGACTTAATGGAATATTTATTGTTTCCGATCACTGTTCACTTGCAAAATGATCTCAACAGGTAAGTTGTAATCGATGAAAAGAGAGTAATTGAAATAAACACCATTTAAATAAATTTCTTTATAATGCGTAGCCATGACACGAGACAACATTTGGTCGAAACGATGAGAGCGATATTACAGAAAGCAAGAATCAAGAAGATTGCGCACTTCCATAACATGTACAGCTACCTGTTATATCAAATTTATGATAAGAGTAACCCGAATTTGAGTGAGTTCATTAAAAGCCTGATGCTTTTAATAAAATTCATTAGAGTTTTTAAATTATTCAATATTTTTCAGTTATTTCAAATCACGAGGAATTGAAAGAAGCCGTAGTATTGTGCTTGGCTGATTTAATGCAGCGATCTACAACTGACGTTATTGAATCGTTATACACTAAGGAAAATACATCTAAACTTGGTCAAGGAATTTTCTTGTGTTTATCTATTGCAAAAGTTGAAAAGGCAAATTCCCTCAGGTAAGCATTGCAGAGGAAAAAATACTTTTTGCAACTAGATCATTTCTATTGCTGTGATAAATTAAAAAGTAACATTTAAATTAATATATAATCATTAGGTTGGCAGCAATAGATGCGGCATTAAAATTATCGCAAGTTCACGATGCAGCTGATGCACAAGATATTGTACTGCGAGCACAAGTAGCAGATGTGCTCATGTTGGTTCTACCTGGGGTTGCGAGTCGATTACTTGATATTGCTTTGGGTAGTGACATTCAAGGCCATAAAGTCACAATGGTATCTAATTTACTTGTTAATTTTATGTATAAAATGAATTTTTTCTATTTCATTCAAACTTATAGATGGCAATTAGAGCATGGGGCCGAATAATAAGTCTCGTTATGGAGGACATGCCAAAGGAGGACAACATTCCATCCATAGATTCCCTCTACCATGAAACATTTGCCACATCTTTTAATTCTATAAACAATGGTTTGAAATCACGTGATCCTGAGGACTTGAAAAGAATACTGAAAACAGCTGAGAGAAATCAAGAGTGGTTTAATGCCGCTGCTACAAAGTTGAACATTCTCGTGCGTGTCTTGACGAACCTGATGCAACATTCACATTGTAATGTGAGGAAAGAATTGGTTGAATGCGTGAGCCTTGTACTCATCAAATGCTCCAGGTAAATCTTGCATATCATATAAAAGAGTGACAAGAGTTATATTACCACAATATCAATATTAATTAATTTTTTTCTTCATTTCAATAAACCTATAACGTAAATAAACGACTTGTCTGCAAAGGAACATGAAGCCATGCTTTCCAGGGCTAATAGAAATTTTAATATCTCTATCCGAGGATGATAACAGCCAAGTCAGTGAAGAAGCGAAGAAAGCACTGATCCAAATTAACACAAAGTACACTCAATCTTCCGATCTAAAACCACTGGTAGAATTGATCGAAGAGAACTTCTACAATCTCCTCACCGAATTGCCAAGAATTATTCGAAAGTCAGGTACGGCTTCTAAATAAAGCCTCTAAAGATTCACAGTTACGTCAGGTTTGTCAGAGCTATTGTTTTACAGACGACACGGGACAACTGACACATTTAAATCGGTTAATTGGTTACTTGAGACTATTAGGGAAGAACAGACTGCCGAAGGTCATGTCTTCGGTGGGTCACTTACAAAGATTACTCCTCGCCCTGGTCTACATAGCTGAGCTCGACTGCAGTAGTGTTTCGCTTCTAGAAGACCCTTCTACCAAAGGTAAGAACGTTTACAAAATAATAATACTATTCATACCCATAAACAATAAACCATAAGCCCACTATTTTTAGATATCCACGACACAGTCCAGGATTATCCACAGCAACCCTGGAAAAGATTCAAGTTCATACACGAGAACCGCGTAGGAGAAAAGCTGACGATGGCCTGCAAACTCCTCTGCGAATTCGGAGACTTAGAAATACTGGTGGACAATATTCTATCCCTAGTCTCCGACATGCCACAATATAAAAAGGAATTAATACTGTTGCTAAATTCCGTGATCGCAGGTAAGTCAGGAAAATTCCCTTACCTAGTATCGTAACAAAATTCTTAATTTTGTGAAACACTTTTTTCCAGCTCCAGGGCAAGCCGAGAAATCGTCATTGTACGAGTCAATAGTGACCTCTTACATAACGAATGACCTGTGGTACCTGCCACTGGCAGTGTCACAAAACGTGACACTAAACCAGGCGCAGAGCAACGTGATCCAATGTTGCCTGTTGACGGAAGGTCTGGGAATTCTCTCCCAATACTTTCAGTCCTCTCCCAAGCCGTTCCTGATGAAGACATTGTACTTCGTTATCGAGAGGGCAGGTATCTACCATCGAAACCAGGGTGACCGAAACGTTGATAAAAAGTATTAACACCTAGAATGAACATTGAACCCTAGGGAGCAGATGCAGCGCGCTGAGCCTCGTCGGCCTGCACTCACTGGAGAGGATCGCAAAGTCCTTTGGCTACAAGGACGTGGCAGACATGTTAAAAGACAACGTGGACCACTTTTCATTCTACATCACGGTGAAGCTCCGCAAGGTGGAGCGAGAACCCGGGGTGCTCGACGTGGTGGCTGCCGTCGTGAGATTCAGCACCTTCGACGCGTTGCCTTACTTGAATGAGATCGTCAGAGACGCCCTCTCGCAATCCAAGGCGAACTATCAGCTTCGAAATGTGCATTCGTTCCTGAAGGTCTTCCACACGTTCGTGCTCTGTATGAAACAGTTGGTGGTGCCCCAAGTCCTTGAGTCCACCGATAAGGAATTTACCCCTCGACCTGACCCCGCCGAGACCACGATTCGAGGCCTCCTGGAGTACCAAAAGGCGAAAAGGGATTCGGAAACGTTCGAGGACGAAGACCCCGAAGGAAAGCCCGAGGACATGTTTAAAAATCTCGACCATGAAGCGGACTTCCGGTCGGACTACGATTACGCCCAGGGTACTTGTTTCGCTGTAAAGTGGCTTGTTTAGGTTTACGTATTTCAGCACATTCGATAAGATTTGATTATCCAGGTTTTGCACCCGTAATTAGGTTCCTCGTTTTTCCAGAGGAGAAGCCAAAACCACCGGATTATGTAACGATGATCGAGGAAGTGGCCGACCGCTGCTTGCATTTTCTGCCGTCCAAGGACAAAGACACGTCATTGTTGGTCATGTCGACCCTGCGCGAGTGCATTTTAATTCTGGCCGACTGGGAGGACAGATTATTGCCCCTTGTGCACAAATTGTGGCATCCTCTGGTCGCCAGGTTCCAGGACTCCGATCCTCTGATGGTTGCTCGAGCCTGGGAACTCCTCCACACAGTAGTCAGGACATCGAAGGATTTCCTTAAATCTAGAGCGCTTACGTGAGTTAATTGCATGTTCCGTTAGAGGTGCAGGTCATTAATTAATTAATCCGACACCTCAGAGGTGCAAATCACGCGACGAGTCAAGACCGATAATTAATTACTCCACGTCACCGCAGGCAAGTGTTACCGGCTCTATCGGACTTCCTCGATAGATCTGCCAAAGAATCGTACAAAAAGTCAAGGGGCACGGTATACGATTTCACTCGGATGTACAAATTGCAGAGGGATCTGCTTTCGCAGCTCGGCTTGATGGCAAGAAACATGAGTCTTCGAGAGAATGAACTGTGGAAGCTCTTGACAATCGTGGAGTCGTACTTAGACAGTCATCAACACGTTAAACTGCAGGCACGTTTCTATACTCGGCATACAAATATTAATAATACATATAAACAATGACCCTAGGAGTGCTGCGTGGGCCTATACAAAGATGTGGCCGATTACAACGAGGACGTCGTTTGGGTGAAATGTCTGGAAATCTGGAACCGGAAGGTCGCAAAAATTCCAAAAGACTCGACACTTAGTCTCGAGGACTTGAAGGTATACCATTTAACAATTCACCCTCGCTCGTCATTTTCTCACTTCAATTGTACATTAACCAAACTGCAGATCGAGAGTCCCCGTTACAATGTTTGTCTTATCGGTCCCCAGAGTCTGGATTCCAGTACGCAGGATGAGTATCGGGAGAACGTAGAAACAATATTAACCTACATCGAAGAGAAAACAACCGACATGTGAATACAAAGACCCAGTATGTACACACGATTTTATTCAATATATTACGTATCCTATTCGCGTGTTATATCTCTCTTCTATTAACTTAATGACGATTTACCCCGACTATAACAACGGAGTTAAACAGCTATGTATAAACGTTTACGTTACAATTCGAGATGACAAAACCGTGGGGGGAGGAAAATTACACGCTAGACTATCCGAGCCCTAAACTCTATACAAACGCGTGTTTATGCATATTGCCATAAGCTTTGTGCCGATGAAAAATTTAAGTATACGCCTATGTACTTATTTAATGATCTTTGGGTAAGTTCGCTAAGTATCAGTGTATACTTTCCATTACAGCGGTCGTTTATGAAAAAACATGGTATATCGTACAAATTACCTTTAACAAACGGTAGTGTCACCGACCTCGAACAGTGAGAATGTTAACGTGACGTTACGTCCCTGGACGTTGCCTCGGATAGAAATGTCTAGACATCATTTCCATGCCTGTTTCTGAGCCTTCTGGGAGGCCAGCTTTTTGGTCACATATGACGCTATCAACAGCGCCGACAGAACAATGACGATAAGGTAATAGTCAAAGTCTTCCTTCAAGACGTCGAAGGTCTTGGAAGGAGCTACTCGAGTGTAGAACAAATCTGCAAAGAAAAAAATTCCTCCGTAACGTTGATGCTTCGTTTAATCAAGATTTCGGGTTAATCCGACATGAAAGGGTAATTTTAAGTACATATTACTTTTTTTCAGAACTGGGTGCACCGAGTAATTTCAAACTTCAGCATACGATTCACTTCAGCTCTGAGAAAGAACGCGATGTTCATGAAATATCATTAAAAAAATATATATTTTTTTTTAGGCATATCTTTTTGAAAAATCACATTTCATGAGCATCGCGCTATTCTTTAGGGCCTCAATAATCACGTCCTAAAATTCCAAATGATTTGGTACACCCGGTTTGAAGAAAAATTTTATATATGTAGAAATGATCCATTCATATCACCTTGATAATGACGAGATCACTTACCGAGACCATGTACAAAAACTAAACAGGTACTTTCAAGGCCACTGGGACTCGTGTGTATGCCCGGTATCCTGGCAATGCTCTGATTATAATTGATTATGCCGTCCATGTGAATGGGAATTTCCGGCATGTAGGGGATCACTCCTTCCTCCCTCATCTCGGGGTTGATGGGCCTCCTAGGGTCCACCATGACCCACGGTAATTCCAGGACGCCTCCATTAGCCAAGCCCACTGGATTTGAATCCCATCAATTAATCTTTTCACAGTCAGGCAACAATAATGTCTATAATAATATTAACACTTCACCCACCCAAAATATGTTTATTGGTGATTCCCTTTTCCGTGATAGTTTCTCGCATGGACTCTATCGAAGCCGGGAATATGAAGGCTTGCCTCTCGATGATCGGCAGCTTCGTGGTGGCCAGCGATGAAAACACTGTAATAAAACCATAATCAATGATAAGCCGCGACAAGTCGGAAGTGTTATGAGGAATAATTTAATCCTGGAATAACGTGCAGCAGTACCTGTGGTATTGCTCTGCGCCTTCCCCTCGTAAAGCTCCAAAGTGGCGATCTCGGTGCGGCGACTTTTGTCGTTAAAGTAGCTATAAACCAGCCAGTTCTCGGAGTGCACCACGTGGACGGGTCCACGTACTCGTTTGTGAGCCACGGAGAATACCATAGCCCCCGAGACGACGTCCAACAGGTACAGACTGAGCGTATCTGAAGAGCATAAGACATATTTAAACCACAGTCGGGGACGATTTTAAGGTAAACCTCAAAGTCCCGCTTACTTTTATGAACATTACCGACACCCTGGGTGACAACAGCCACCAAGTTGGGGTTGATGTACTTGTACAGAACCGAACGGTCTCCCAAGACCCGACCTTGCGAGTGCACTCGCTCGATGGGATTCTTCGACACGATGTTCGTGATCAGCTGATTCTTCGGCGAGAGGACCACTTCCCAAACTTTATGGGCAACCAGGTTCTGCGAGAAGGGTCGTTTCTAGGTTACCAATAATTCCCCATACAAGAATATCGAATTCTAAAACCTACGGGAGGAGTTATTCCAGTTTAGTACCTGCGGTGTACTGTAGGAAAGAGAATACCCAGCGAGCACGCCGGTCTCTCGGTCAGCTGTGAACATGTAGACGTGTTTCCCGACACTGGCGGCGACGCTGGTCGCACTTTCTGGGAATACGTGCACTCGGTCTCTGTTGTCGAGGACCAAGATCCCCCTCAGGAAGTCCTCCGTAGTGGCATGCAGCAGCATCGACTGTTTCACTTTATATCCCAGCTTGATGGCGCCTCCCAAGGGCTGCCCGATTATAGGGTTGAACGTGAAAATGACGCCTTCGCCGGTTTCCTGTACAAGATGATCAAATTGATGCCTTCGATATGCTTCGGGAACGACGTTGGAATTTTCCGAAGCGGTTTAATAATTAATAAAAAGGCAAACCTTATCCGCAGCGAGTAAAGCACACTGAGAAGGGTGCGGGAAATGACGGCTGCCTCGTTGCACGTAGAGGATCATATTGTCGGAGTCCTTCGACAATCCGCGAATATTCGGCACGCGCAGCTGCCAGATAATTTCTCCCTTCTTCGTCTCGATCCCGAACAGCTGGAACGTAGATAAGAAATGTCAGGAAAGAGCGGAGATAAATCGGGGAACGTTCGAGAGACGTTGCATTATGGAGTTACCTTTCCAGCTGTGGTCACTACGACGATCATTTTATGCAAACCAAACTTGTCCCTCACCAGATCCACTCTTCGATCAGACTGTTGAGGAGTGAAATTCAAAGAGGACTGCAGAAATGTTCTTAACTGATTGAATTGAGAACTGATCCTGCGTAGCATCATACCCATGACGTCCCCTAGAGTGAATCAAAGATGAATTATCTTTATCTATACTGGATCGATGAGCCAAAGTATCATTTGTATCACACATCTGACTAAAGATTTATGTTAGTCCACATGCACGATGTAAAACAAATGCAGCAATTGTCCATAAATTCCCAAAGAAGAAAACATAACGCAGTCTTCATGCTTAAATTGTCAAGTTAAAGAGAGTTAATTTTAATTTACACCGTAAGCTTTTACTCTACTCTGAAAATTAACCAGCTAAAGCAAGAGAAGATTTCGTCAGCTTAAATCTGGTCAACAGTTTCAAATGGTAAAAAGAGCTAATGAATATCTGCAGAAAAGGGAGGACTTGAAACAGTCATAAAACCAGCCTGACCTGCGTTACTACTTACATGAACCGCTTACATCGATACCTGATGGCAGCAGCAATTTACAGAAAAAGGTATTAATACAATTCCGCTAGCGTGTTAAAATTATTATTAAAGAAAAATGCATAAACCGAGTAATTGAAATAGGATTTACAGTACCCAGGAAATTATACATATTCTATTACTTTACACTGATATTATATTACACTTTTCATATGCGATTAATGAATGGTGATAACTTAATTCTCCCATCATTCAATTAATATGTTAGCGATAAAAGCATGAAGCTGAAGTATTGACTGAGATAAAAATTGTATGCAATTCTTAACGGCTTTGCACATCCTTCGGATTTAGAAATTTTAACACAGTACTCACTTTCTTTCTGGTCGAATTCTGTTTCGATAGCTTGATCTCTGTCGGACATTGGGAGTTCCACCAACTCTACAATAACGATGCCAGCAAGAGCTTCTTCTCGTGCCCACACAAGTTTACTATGCTGTAGCAACGCAACACCATGATCTTCCGATGACAATAAATGCCGACACATTATTCCTTTTGCTTGACGTGGGCAAACCGATGCCATAATAGTTGGGAAATACAGTGATGAATGCAATACTGCAACCGATAAGTTTGGTATAGGATTCGATGACTCGAGCTCCCATGCCTTAACTTCCGTCATCTGAAAAGAAATTATGTTTGTAGAGCATAAAATTAAGCTAAAAACAAATCTGTCCTACATAGATGAACAAGACTTTTACTTACTCCATTCTCATATGTTGTTTCCAATAGAATGTTCTGATTGTCTGCTAACGTGACGTACAGCGTTGCATCGCCACTTATATCCCTCTGTATGGGAATCGGTGACTCTTTAACGACAACGATTCTCTTTCTTTGGTTATTATCTGCACTCACTGAGAGTACCGAGTCGTCTCCTGGCACAGCTGTCAGCTGAAACGGACCTTGCACTCCAGCTCCAAATATTGTATTAATTGTAACCATCCATGGTTGTGCGGTATCGTCAAAGAGAGGTACATTAAGAAGTACAGCTAAGGAGTCGTCTCCTCTCAAACAAACCAGAGACTGTACTGCCACCACACAACTGAAAACATTTTTGATGGAGCTCAAAATATTTATTTCTAATTATTTTTCATCACTGTACTTTCAAAAGGGTACCTCGTGTCTTGGCTTATAACCGGAGCCGGAATTGTTTTACTTCTCAATTTTTCGCCAGTCAAACTGGCATATGATTTCACCTCTACCTTTACTCCGCTGCTATGAACTAGCATGATATGATGAACCACTCCATCCTCCGCTATGTACCATTTTTCCTCTCCTATCCTGTACGACAGAAAATTTATTCCCGTTAAAGTATATGCATTGAAAATCTCAACGATCGCATGTACAATTGAAAGCAAAACATTTATGTGTTGCTCACAATGGGTGAACTTAGAACTTGATAATACTATGTGGTGCCCAGTCAACGACTACAAATAAACACAGTTAAATGGAAATCATTTAAATTTGTGCAGCATCACATTAAGACGATTATGCTGTATACGCTTTTAGATTATAGATAAAGAAACCTTGAAATATTGTACAGTCCTGCCATAGAATACGATACAAATGAAGAATCAGGTCTGAAAAACCAATTCGAAATATTACAGAACGATTTTTACATTTCATCTCTTATAACGTCTAATGCTTCCACTGAAATCCATTCGTAGTAGTATGGTAACTTATAAACAGAAAGCTCTTCAATTTTTTATCTATCTTTAATCAGTTACTACCGACTCACCTATCAGGGTTTTGTTCAGCAATGGGCCATTCTGATAGAATATTACCAGTAGCCAGATCCCAGGCACGCACAATTGCAGGAACGCCACCGTTTACAGAAATAAGGCTTCCATCTGCGATAATTCGCAACGCATGTATCCTTCCTGTGTATCCTTGTTCCAGCACTCTTCTCCATAATATCTGACCTATCGTTTTAAACATTAATTTATGTTAAATCCATGTCGAACAATACTTAACCTCCAGTTACTCCTCTCGCTAATCAATCAAACTGAATCGATCAAGAAATGACCTCATCCGAGAGCTCACCTGATTTAAGATTCAATGCAGCAACAACGTTCTCCTCGGTTGCTACAATGATCTTCTTCGCTGTTGATACAGTGTCGAAACTGGCAAACTTAATCCTGCCTACGTAGTTTTGTTTCCTGAAAAAGAAATCAAAGATGGTTAGAGCTAATTTCAATAACTGCGAATTCACTGTCAAACAGAAAGGCGTGCTCTCGGATCATTTAAGAGGTTGGGAACGCCAATGAGTGCATATAAATCGATCACTAAGTGTATTACCAATCAAATTTGCCAACTTGATCTTCATAAAGGCACAGAGACAAATTGAACAGCCCGAAAAACACGATTAGGTATTGTAATACTTGTATGTCAAGTAAAAACCGGTTAAAATTTCCTCGAAAACTCCACAACAACGGCGCCATGACGGTGGACAGTGGCAGACGGTAATTTTCATCTCTGTTTGTGATTTAAGCAAATCCTAACAACCAGCCACACGCAAAATCCCTATAATCTAAGGATCTAGGGAACCAGGCCGCCATCTTTTAAACAACTCTACCCAGAGATGAGCAGAGATGAGTTGGGAGATTGCTCACGGGCAGGGTCGTGCGATCACATCCTGTGCTGCCCTCCGGTTTCGTACGTTAACTTTCACCGTTTTTTGCCCCCAAGGGCGCCGCAACGAATTTCTGATAGGAGCTCGGTGTCGCGTACGCAATTCTCATTCTGCGAATTTGCGTGAGTGCGATCGCTCCTAGAAATCTTCGCGCGTTCCAACCAGTCAAGCGCCAAGCTACGGCTCGAGATGTTGAATATATGTATGTTCGGCGCTACGCTCGACAAGTATGAGTGAGAGTCGAATTCTGCGAAAAATCCTCCCGAGGCTTACCTAACTGCAGATATAAGCCGAGTCATTTCGCGTATGATTTTTACATTTCCCTACTAGCGTTATCGAGCGTTTTTAGACCGTTTTTGAGCGTTACCGAGCGTTTTTCAACCGTTTTCGAGTGTTTTCCAGCGTTTGTCAAACGTTTTTGAGCGTTAACGATCGTTTTTCAGGTGTTTTTGAAAGTATTCGAGCGTTTTCGCGCGTATTTCAAGTATTTCCGAGCCTTATCGCAGACCGTACAGTGCCGTCGAGCGTTGTTAAGTGCAGTAGAGTGCCGGAGAGTTGCCGCAGAGTGCCGGAGAGGGCCGGAGAGTGCCGGAGAGCGCCGGCGAGTGCCGCAGATTGCCGGAGAGTGCCGGAGAGTACCGGAGAGTGCCGGAGAGTGGCCGCAGAGTGCCGGAGAGTGCCGGAGAGTGTAGGAGAGTTGCCGCGGAGTGCCGCAGAGTGCCGGAGAGTGTCGGAGAGTTGCCGCAGAGTGCCGGAGAGGGCCGGAGAAGGTCAGAGAGGGCCGGAGAATGCCGGAGAGTGCCGGAAAGTTTCCGCAGAGTGCCGGAGAGTTGCCGCAGAGTACCGAAGAGTGCCGGAGAGTGCCGGAAAGTGCCGGAGAGTG